AGAGAAAGGATATTTATGCCCTTGAGAAGCTTTCACATTAACTAGGGTGAAAAATATGCACATAACCAACTAAACAAAATTATATAGAGAAAATAGGACCAGTCTCCAGGAATGCAAAGTAAAGGAAAGTTTAAAAAGGCAATAAGGAAAAACTTATACTTCAGAGTAAGTTAGAAAATTTAAGGAAAACAAAAACATGGACAAAATATAAGCTGTGACAAAATCTAGACTTGGGAATAAGACTAGCAAAGGCAAAAAGGCAGAGAGACACTAGAAGCATCTTAGGTAAATACTCTGACTCAAGGACAGAGGACTGGAATATCTCTCTATATACCAATGGCAAGAAAAAGTTTCTAGAATATAAAAGATATTCAATGAAGATTAAGTTGAAATGATTCCCAATACTAACCTTGTGGCTCTGAATACTGTCTCCATTCAAGTTCCCTCAATTTTAAAGTAGGAATAATTTCTGTGGTTTTGACTATTTTCATAAATTTATTAATATTTGATACAAAAGAACTTATTAGAATATGAAAATAATATTTTCAAGGGGATAAGACCTTCCAGAGGGACTGAATACTGACATACTATATAGGACTAGATAGGAAAGGTGAGGCTGGATATAATGAATGGCTTTGGATGATAAACTATTTAGTCTGATAGGGCACCATTAATGAGTCAATGATATTTTTGTTTTTATATCTAATAATGCCTTCATTGAAACATAATTCAAGACCATAAAATCCATTCTTTTTTTGGGTGGCATGGGGAGTTACTGGGTGGTTTTTAGTATACTCATACACTAGTGCAAACATTGTTTCTATATCATTTTGAAACATTATTCTCACTGACATTTTAGCAACATGCTACTTTCAGGTAAGGGAGCAAAGACAAGGAAACAGGAGCAACACCCTATTACAGCTTTCTAAACAGTAGGTTATCAAGCTAATTTTGTAAGCAGAAATAAAATTTTGCAATGCTAAAAAAAATTGGTACCAACACTTGCATTGTCTAGTACAGTGAATTCCAGTGGAAAAGTGGGCTTAATAATAACTAATATATTTCAAGTTTAGAGAAGAGTAAAAACCATTGATAGAAACAGATTAGATAGAATGGTAGCTTACTTGGACATAAGGGAGGAAGAAAGATATTGTTTGAAATTTTAGACATGCTGATCTCTGTATAAACCATGATATAAATAATAAACAGGAACTATTCCACCAGAATGCTAGAAATAAACAAGTAAAAAGCTGAGGCTTGGATTGGGATCAGAAATAGAGATGTGGATTAATACTCTAAGACAGAGTTATAGGGAGAAGAGAATATCAAGGACTGAGGAAATAATCAATCAAGGATGATCTGAGAGATAGAAGTAAAAAGGTAGCATACAAAAAACTGAATCATAACTTGACATAACAGAAATACTGTGATACTTCCTGTTTTGTTTTGTTTTCCTTTTTTAAGCTTCCTAGAAATCACTTCATATCAGGAGAGTTTTCTCACTTCATTTTTGTAACTTTTTTATTCATGTATAAACTTACATAAGTACACAAAGAATTAAAATAACTAAACATACTAATTTAACTACCACCCAGATATTTTTAAACAATAAGGGTGCCAGGCACAGTGAAACAGGCCTGGAATCCCAGTGACTGGCAAGGCTAAGGCAAGAGGAGAGCCAGTTCAAGGCCACTCCGGGCAATTTAGCAAGACTGTTTCTAAAAAAAAAAATTTAAAAAGGGGCTGGGAATATAGCTTAGTGGTAGATCCGTCCTCGGTTCAATCCCCAAGGGAAAAAAAAAAATGGGCAATATAGAAACCCAGGCCCCTTCTTGTAAACTCCTCTCAATCACTACCTCCACCTCATCCACAAAGGTAACTATCAGAGTAATACCTGACTTCCAACATTACTGATAGCTTTTCTGTTTTTAAATGCTATCTAAATGAAATTATATAGTGTACATTCATTATGTTTGGCTTTTTGCTTCAAGAATATGTTTATGAGATTCATTTATGCTGTACTTCATTCATTTTCATTTTTATATGGTATGCAAATAAGTATACCACAACTAACAAATTTCATTTTATCCTTGATGGACATTTGTGCTATTTCCAGGTTTTTACTATTAAAATGATATTGTTATAACCTGTGTTTCAATAAATATTTAGCATACTTCTCTTGACTGTGTATCTTGGAGGGAAATTTCTGAGTTGCAGAATATGTATGTTGTCTCAGAGGACTGGTTACAGGACACCTCCTTCACATATCAAAATCCACATATGTTCATGTCCCTTATGTAAATGACCTAGCATTTAACTTCCACACACCCTCTTATATACTTTAAATCATCTTTAGATTACTTATAGTACCTAATATAATATAAATGTTATGGAAATAGTTGTTATACTGTATTGTTCAGAAAATAATGACAAGAAAAAAGTCCATACAAGTTCAGTTTAGACATATTTTTTCAAGTATTTCTGATCCATTATTGGTTGAATCCACAGATTCAGAACCCATGTACATACAGAGGAGAAACTATATATATATTAACCCTCAGTAGAAAAGGTTGAACAGTTTTTAAAGTGATGGTGTAACTGACATACCCACAGAGTTGTACAACAACTCTGACAGCTTCACATCCTTGCCTTCACTTGACAATGACAATCTTTTTAAATGTTAGCCATTCTAGCAGGAATGTACTGGCATTTTACTGTTGTTTTAATTAATCCTTCCTGATTGCTCATAAGATAGATCACCTTTTCATTTATTTATTGACTATTTATTTTCTTTGTTAAGTATTTGTAAGAGACCCCCCCCCCACACACACACACACATACACATGCACGTGAGTTACAAATATCTTCTTTTCACTTTATTCCAGTTGTCTTTTAAGGAACAAATTGCTTGAATTTTTTTTAACTGGGGATTGAACCCAGGGGTGTTTTACCACTAAGCTACATCCTCAGGGAAGGAGGTATTAAAATTCAAAGTCCAATTTTCTTCTTTTGAAATAAGTGTTTCAAGTTTACTCTTCACTGAGTAATATTTAAGTCAAATATTATTTAGATAATAAAACTAAGGCCCATCAAACCTGTTTACTTTCTAGGATTACCCACTTGGTCAGTGGCAAAAGAGTACCTGAATACCATTCTTCTGACCCCCAGGACAGAAGTGAAAGTATTATCAAGCAGCCAAAGGAAAAATTCATTTCTATAGCTACAGTAAACATGATTAACTTAGAATACTCACACTACCACAAAGCAAGCATCTACCATATGGCAGGGATACACACTCTCCACATTGTCTCTTAATTCTTATCATACTCCTCTCAATACTTTTTTTTTTAAACAGTTAAGGAAACTGGAAGTCATGATTTAAACAACTTACCTGAGATCACACAACTAGTTAATAATAGACCATAGTTGCAGCATTAAAAAAAAAAAAATGCCTGGACATCTTTCACCTCATTACCTAGACTATACTTTAATGAAGAGTGAAAGTTAAAGAGAAACAGCTAATTTCAACTTCCAGCCTTACTTAAAATTTTGAGTGATGCCTCAATAAATGTTTTAAAGGAAAAAAATTAGAAATTATATTACATACAAATTTTATTTGGTAGAAAATCTTTTCAATTTCTTATATTTGATCAAAAGGTTAATTTACAGAAAAAATAAAACAAAACTGTCCTTCAAGACAATCTCCCTAGAACTCATCAAAGAGGAAATAATCT